TGGTTGTGGGTGAGACTGACATATCCGGCCTCAGGCTGCTGGAGGCTCACTTCGGGCTGGACTGGGCAGCTGAAGGGCTGGACCTGATCTCCCTCGACATAGTCCCTTACCACCTACACCTATTTATGCATATTCATTCTCCCCAACTGCACCCCAGTCTATGCACAGAGCTCTTTATCACAAACCTACTTATACTGTCTCCGCATACACGTCATCTCAAACATGCAGTCCCTTACACAGACCCCATCACAACCACATTATCTTCCCGTAAAGACCCCATCCCAGGTGCACAGCTCCTCCACAAACACACCTCTAGCCGTAAGAGAACAACTTGCCCCAACATCTCTCCTCCCATTAGACATTCTCCCTCCATTCATCCAACAGGAATTTCTGAGGGTCTGTTGTGAGAAAGGCCCCGGGCCAAACTCTCAGTGACTGGGAAGCAAGAAGAGCAAGCCCTCGCCTTCACTTTCAAGGGGCTCCCAGTTAGTTGAGTGAGTAAGCTAAATACAGAATTATAATACAGGGCAGGATGTGGTCAGAGTCAAGAGGTGTGTGCTCAGGGGAGAAATCCCTTTAGGTTAGAGAAGAGGGACCAAAAAGTCTCTGTGAAAAGTGTCATCTGAAGTTAGGACTTTAAATAAAGATAATAAAAATCATAAAGATCTACCTTTTATTGACATTTATGTCAATTTCTCTGTACCCATAATTTCATTTACTCTTTACAACAACCCGGCAAGATACCATTATAGCCATTTTTACAGGTTAGGAAACTGAGGTGCAAAGACGTTAAACACTTGTTTAAGGACCTTCTCCAAAGTCATACAGCTAGTAAGTTGTGAAGTTGTGAAGCCAGGATCCGAACCCACACCTCTCGGACTCCAAAGCCCAAGCTGTCTCTGCTACGCCAGCCGGAGGTGAGTCAGGGGTAGCATTCCAGGCAGACAGAAGAGCATAAGCAAAGGTGGAGGAGCAGGAAATCACGGAGGAGCATTCAGGGAAGTGAGCAGGCAGGCTGGCTGAAGCACAGGGTACCTGCAAGGGAGCAGCGATGGGGAAATCCGGGTCAGGGTGGAAAGGCAGGGGAGGATTAGAGAGGAAGGAGTATTTTACCTACTGGAGGGCACCAGGAGGCCACGGGAGGCTTTGAGCAGAAAAGGGACAGAACCAGAACTAGATTGTGGAAAATAATTCTGGCAGTTACCTTGGAGACTGGTCAGAAAGACAGTGCATTAGCACAAGTGAGAAGTGATGACAACAGTTAGAACGGTAGAGAGGAGGGTGTCGCTCATTTGTAGTTTTAAGAGGTAGAACTGTCAGGACCTGATGGCAGTCTGTCCTGTCAACCTTCAGGGACCAGGGCCCAAAGTCAGACTGGAGTCCCACAGCTTCTGTCATCAGTAGCCACTCAGTGGCTGGGGTGGCATGAGTTTACATAAGGAATTGGGAAGGGGAGAAGGAAAAGATCAGGTCGAGCTGGGTATATGAAGATGGGGCTCTGGGGCACAGGAGATGGGGACGTGGGTTGCATCAGGTAGGGGCAGAAGGGATGAGGTCAGTGACCGTATCGGACTAGAAATGGGGAAGACGAGGTGTAGAGAAAGGCTGGGGAAGACGGTGGTAGGAAAAATACATATATGATCAGTCACTGGATCAGGCTAGGGGAAGGGGAAAAAATAATTATAAGTCAGGGAATGACAGAGTGAGGTCAGAGGTCAGATCAGGCTGCAGGAGGCTGAGAAGAGATGGCGCTGTTGTCAGCGGCTAAATAAGGCTGGGATGGGAGGGGGAGAGTGGAGGGACACCGGCGGTATATAAGCAAAGGTGGAGTTGGCAGCGGTGGGTGGGTACAGGGCATGACCCGTTACACTGAGTAGGGGATAGTGCTGTGGTCAGTGGCAGGGTCAGGCTGGGAGTGAGATGGGGGTGTGGTCAGTGGCCTGGCTGGGCGTGGGATCAGCAAGACCCAGTTTCCTCTTTGGGTCTCATTTCCTCTTTTCTGTTTGGGGAGTGGGGGAAGGGGATCTACAACTGGACCAAGAACTCAAGGAGGCTTAGCGCCAGGGGCTGGCACGTAGCAGGGCCTGGGGGTACTTGACAGTTATGTTGGGCTGGGGGAGCGGGCGGTATTCAGCAGATGACCAGGAGGTATGCAGGTGGGTGAGTGCGGGAAAGTGTGGGAGAGTGCTTTAAGATGATGGGAAAGCTCAGCTTTGGGAGGGCAAAATATGGCAGGAGGTGCAGAATCGGATAGCAAGGGAGGAAGAACTGCAGCTGGAAACCGTTGGTAAGATGAACAAGTATGGGAGAGTTACAGATGAGGGGAGAATTCTGTACGGAGGACTGTGCTTGCAGAAAGGGGGTATGCAGGGAGGGTGTGAACGGCAGGGCCGACAAGGACTTAATAACTACAGAATGAGGGAACTGGGAGGCAGTGGGGCTGAACTTTCAGAGCATTCAGTCATCTCTTTCTCCCGTGGCAACAGTGTTTCCGTGGTCAGCCTTCCCTTAATCATAGCCCCCTCTCCCTAAGTAATCCCCCACTTGTGACTAGGCTTCGTACATCTCCTGGGTCCCAGTCCCATTCCCACCCCCTATGTTGTAAACAACATAGTCCACGGACCCCTGTCCCTCAACTGTGGTGACCACAGCAAGAGCATTGGATTTAAAGAGCAGAATAAAGAAGCTGGAATCCCAGAAACCTGCAATTGTAGCTGAAACCCAGAACCCTACCTGAAATGAGTTTATCGTATCTCTGGGCTAGAGAACCCCTGAAACTACGGAGGAATGAGACCTCCCCGCAAAACGAGTGCATGTATCTACTGCCAATCTCTTAAATTTTATCTGTCTGAGGTCAACTGCCCTAATCTCAACCATGACCCCCCTAAAACTAACCCTAATTCCTGACATTAACCCTGACCCTTATTTGTTTCCTGTTTCCTAATACTGGCTTTAACATTCATCCCTTTCCTAACAGACACCCGTACCCAATCCCTGATCCCTAATATTGACCTAATTTTTACCTCTAGCACCAAATTCCCCGACCTTAACCCTAAATGTTGATCTCTAAGCCTAAAACTCCTTTGTCACTTGATTCCCGACCCATCCCTTTGCTATTTATCCCGGTCCCATGCTAATGTTCTCTAGTCCCTAAAACTGGATTTCTAATTTAATTCCTGTGTTGACCCTTAACCCGGCCCTGAATCTTAACTTTGACTTAACGTTGGCCAGAAAACAAAATAATGACCTAATCCAAACTTTACCTACATAAAACGGACCTGACTCACACTAGTAACTCTAAATTTCCAACTCCGGTTTTATAACTCCTTAAGCTAACCTTGACTCCCAAACCCAACTCCACCTAATCCCAAATTCACCCGAGGCTTTCCTACCCACATACCCGCTATCAGCTAACCTCAAAGCCGATCCCCGCCCTGCGCCTCACTGCCACCCCACTCCTCTCCCTCTTCAAAACTTATTCCAGACAGAGGATTGATCCCAGGAAGGGCCCGGCTCCCTTAAAACGGCCTACTTAACTCCGATCCCAAGCCGAGATACACTGGACGGTGACCTCTCCAACAGGACCCGAAATAGGAGACGCAGAAGAGTCAGGGGACCCCGCCCGCCAGCCCGCCAGCCCGCCAGCCCGCTTCCCGGGCCTGGCCTTGCGGCCCCACCCTGAGGCTCCGGCTCGGCCCGGCCCGGCCTACCTGCGCTGCCCGGCTCGTGCCCCGCCCGCCGGCCCGCTAACCCGCTCGTTCTCCCGGTGGCAATCGGGCTCCGGCCTCGCCCTCCCTTCGACACTCTCTCGGCCACTTCCGTCCCCGGAACGTCCCCCACCCGCGGGCGGCGCCCTGGGCCCACGCTCTATGGTTGCGGGGGACAGGAGGAAGCTGCTCTGGCCCCAGCTCTCGATGCTCGAGAGAGCCGGCCTTAGACCGGCGGCCCCTCCCCGGCAGGAAGCAAGGGTGCGGCACAATTCGGAGAAAACGCTCTAACTGCGCCCGAGTTCCCTTTCAGTCCCGAACCCTTCCCTTTTTCAGCCGGGGGCCAAGGCGGAGCCCGTCCCCAGAATGCCCGCCCTCAGGGTGTGAGGAGGCAACAGGGACGGCCCCTCTATTTGCATAGCTCCTGGGACGTGGCGCGCAGCTGCTAGGCCACTTCCGCGTCAGAGGGGACTCCAAGTCCCGGAATGCCTCGGGGGTAGGCGCGTCACTTCCGTGGTGTTGGAAGCTGCGGAGGAGCGAGTCTAGGGAGCTGGTGCGGTTTGAGATCGACTGGTTCAGGGTTGCGGATTGGTGGTGGGGTGAGCCTCTGGGTTTCTGCCCATCCTTCCCGTTGATATCCAGTATGGACCTGGCGTTGGACTTGGGTGACCAGGACCTGCTGGACTTCCTGCTAGAGGAAAGCGGAGATTTGGGGGCCGAGCAGCCCCTCTCCGAGGTGGGTGGGGGCTGTGAGTCGGGGAGGCGCAGGGTTGGGGGGACGGCATTCATGAGGCAGTGGGTAGTAATAGGTCAAGGCTTATTAATTTGAACCCTGTGCAGACGCTGAGTGAATGGGAGGCAGAGGATTTCCTGAGTTCCCTGCTGAGTCCTCCAGCATCGTTGAACGTCCTTAGCTCCTCTGATTCCTGTCTTGTTCACCATGATCACACCTACTCCCTCTCACAACATGTCTCCATAGATCTAGGTGAGTGTGAAATAAGTGAGGTTTGGGCGGAAGACAGGACTCGTGGGCCTGGCTATTTGTACTTTCCCTTTTGCAGATGGTGGGAACTATGGAAAAGAGGGGGCCCAGACGACTCCACTGCGTGTGGAGGAGCCAGCAGAGCAGGTACTTGATTTATGGCGGGATTATTCACACATTGCACGAGTGGGGGCGGGTTCCCCATTCCTTTCTGACATCCCCTTGCAACTCTGCTGCCCACCTCCTGGTAACCCTAGGAAATTGCTAGGCTGATACTGACAGATGAGGAGAAGAGGCTGTTGGAGAAGGAGGGGCTTACTCTGCATGGGACACTTCCTCTTACTAAGGTAAGACTCCCATTGATAGGAGTGAAAGCTGGAGGGGGTTTTTGAGTCCCAAGTACCCACTTCTGTTATTAATTTTATATCAGGAAGGACTGAGGTTAGAGAACTTAGCAAATTTGTTGCTAATAGGAAGCTGGAACATGTAGTTAATATGGTGGATGCAGAGGCAGATCCTGGTTTTGTGACACTTTTACAAATTTTTGGTGTTCTCTTTAAGAAAGAAGAATTCAAAATCATCAGTGCAACATTGGTATAGGGACTTGGAAGGACTGTGCAAGCAAAGGACCCTGATGCTTAGATTGCACTAAGGGCCTCATCATAATCCACCTATAGTTGAATGGTAGAATTAAGTTTTAGAATTCATCAAGGCTGGACTAATAGCAAGAATAGTTGTAAAATCCCAAGTTTTAAGTTTTTCAGTTTCAAGCAACGAGTGGCAGCTTTACAAGCACGGTATTGTACTGTTGTGAAATCAACAGTACAGAAAAGTTGAGAGAATTTTAAGATTTTTTTTTTTTGAGAGAGAGCGAGAATGAGAGCGAGCGAGAGAGAGCACATGAGAGGGGGAAGGGTCAGAGGGAGAAGCAGACTCCCTGCTGAGCAGGGAGCCCAATGTGGGACTCGATCCCGGGACACCAGGATCATGACCTGAGCTGAAGGCAGTCACTTAACCGACTGCCCACCCAGGTGCCCTGAGAGAATTTTAATTTCTTAAAAGTACAAGATGAGTAGCAGTTTGAGATGACTAAAAAAAGTGAGTGGGGTTTGAAGGCTGTATCAATGGAGGTGTTGCCTCTAAAAGGGCAGTGACCATCTTACTCTCCTTTATACTGGCCAGAGCACATTTTAGTGTCTAGTTTTGAACCCAGATTTTTGACAGGTATTAAGAGGATGCAGTCCATCCCGAGGAGAGAAGATAAAGTGAGGAGTTACAATTTTAGCCCAGATTATTTAACTCTGAAGAAATGTTAAGTCCCTTAAAATAGTTAAAGACTGTTCATTCTGTATGGCCTCAGAGATAGGTACTAGGTAAGTCCAATTGATAGAAATCATATGTTGGCTCAGGATAAAGAAAATTTTTTTTTAAAAGATTTATTTATTTTAATAGATTGTGCTTGTGCGCACAAGCAGGGCAGGGTGGGGGGCAGAGGGAGAGGGAGAAGGAATAAGAATCTCAAGCAGACTCCCCACTGAGCACCATCCCACGACCCTGAGATCATGACCTGAGCTGAAATCAAGAGTCAGACTCCCAACCAACTGAGGTACCCAGGCAAGGGTTGTTTTTTTTTTTCTTTTCTTTTTTTTTTAATTAATAAAACTGTTAAAAATGGTCTGGCTTGTAAGGATGTTAACCCCTGGCCTTCAGAGGCATTCAGAGAGAAGCCAAGTGCCTTTTGGTCAGGGAAGCTGTAGAAGGGATTCCTGCATTGAGAAGATTGAACTTAGTTGCCTTCCAACTCTTTGGTCCAGTGTTCCTCTGACGAAGATCTCTTTTCTATCTTCTCTTAGATGGAGGAACAAGTTCTGACACGAGTGCGGAGGAAAATTAGAAACAAAAAGTCTGCTCAGGAGAGCCGCAGGAAGAAGAAGGTGTATTTGGGAGGTTTAGAGAGCAGGTACAAAAGGGAGAGGGATGGGGCGGGGGGCGGGGCGCAGAGGTCGTTGGAAGTGTTGGGTTTTGAAGGGGGGGGTACAGGCCATATCCCCATATCCTATTATTCCCCCAGGGTCTTGAAATACACAGCCCAGAATCTGGAGCTACAGAACAAAGTGCAGCTCCTGGAGGAACAGAATTTGTAAGTAACTCTCTAACATCAGTCCCTCCTCCCTCCTGTTTTATGCTGTCTCATTCTTTCCCCTGTTCCACACTGGGCAGCTCCTGCATGCAAGGTCTGGTGCTTGGCCTTTAGTGGATCTGATTTCAAGAAGCTTACAGTAGTGGGGAACAAATTCACAAGTAATTAAGTAAGTTAAATATTCAGAAAGAGAGAGGAGGGAGTAAGAAAGACCCCATGGAACCCTCCCACACTGTTGGTGGGAATGCAGACTGGTGCCGCCACTCTGGGAAAACAGTATGGAGGTTCCTCAAAAAGTTTAAAATAGAGCTACCATACGACCCAGCAATTGCCCTACTGGGTAGTTACCCCAAAGATACAAACGTAGTGATCTGAAGGAGCATGAATCACAGACCTGTACCTCTGAAACAAATGAAACAATACGTTATATGTTAATTAAAAAAAAAAAGACCCCCTGGGGCTGATGACGTTTGATAGTAGACGGGATTCTGGGGTGGGGATCGGGATAGGGAGCACTCTAGGCAGAAAGAACATGGCATAGTGCAGTCTGGCTGGAACCTTAACATAGGTGAGTTGAGTCAGAAAGAGAACATCGAATGCCCGCTGAGGATTATGTGCATAGCTGATGAGGCAGTGTAGAACCACTGAAGGTATTTGCAAAGGAGTTTAAATCAGGTCAGGACAGAAAGGTGTTTGTTTTAATGAGGAACTTCAGGCACTTTGTCCACGGAGAGGAAGAATCATTTAAAGATAGGACGAAAAGCAACAGAGATAATTCAGTGCACAGGTGGAGGGGTGGCCTTAACAGGAAGGTTTCATTGTATCTCAGGGTGCCAGGCCAGGGGCTGCTCACTGTCCCCTTTCTTCTTCCAGGTCCCTTCTGGACCAGCTGAGGAGACTCCAGGCCATGGTGATTCAGGTGTCAGACAAAACGAGCAGCACCAGCACCTGCGTCTTGGTGAGGATGGTGATGGAAGGAGAGATCCATTTCTCAGGTGGCAGGGACAAGGCTGCAACCTAGAGCCCTTCGTTTTTTTTCCCCCCCGGTCTCCAGGTCCTACTTTTCTCCTTCTGTCTGCTCATCGTACCTGCTATGTACTCCTCTGACACAAGGGGGAGCCTGCCAGCTGAGCATGGAGGTGAGAGGCTTGAGAATACCATTAAGGAAGGGCTAGTGGGGAAGCCTGGCCGGTCCTTGAGGAGTCTGTTTTCTTAGTGTTGTCCCGCCAGCTTCGTGCCCTCCCCAGTGAGGACCCTCACCAGCTGGAGCTGCCTGCCCTGCAGTCAGAGGTACCAAAGGACAGTTCAGACCAAGAGATCCAGGCTCCTGGCAACTCTTGCTGCTTGCTGTACCACATGCCTCAGGCTCCTGGTGCTGAGCCTCCCCTGAAGTGGCCATTTCCTGTCCCTTCCTCAAAGTCCCCCTGCCCAGGTCCCGCCCTTCCCCTGCATGCAAATTTCACAAGAGATCGGGAATGGTTCCCTACTCACAGCCCCACATCTGTTATCTTACAGGGCAGATATTCAGGCTAGATATTCAGGCTAGATTGGGGGGAGGGTGCTATGCCAGAGCCTGCGGTCCTAGTCTGTGTCCAAATGAAAGGAATGGGAGAGGGCTAGTGTGAGCTCATGCGTCCTGTGTCAGGAAGCCTGAGCGTTCAAACACACCACACTTAACTGGCTTTCTGGGTCTTTTATTTGTACCCATGTAAATCTACCACCCCATGAATGGGCCTGGGGGAATCAACCGACCTCGTTAAACATTTCATGCAGTGAGGGGATTGGGTGAGGAGAGAAATAAATAAGTGATTCTGATGCTTGGATCACCTTCAACCCCTCTTTACTGGCACGATTGGGTGGGGAGAAGGGAAGGGGCATGATTGTCTTGGTGGCTCAGGGTTGCAGGAGGCTGGGGGGCGGGGAGCAGTGAAGAGGAAGAGGAAAGGCCAGGCTGGAGGCTGGGCTGTTAGAGCCTCCCTCCCACAGTTCAGAGGGCTCACTTTGGGTTTGTTGTGGCTTCCTTTGGTCCAGGGTTAGGTCCTGTGCTTAGTCCTGTGCCCTGTTCGGCTACTGGCTTGGAGGCCTTTCTGTGCTGCTGCTGCAGGGCCAGCTGCATGGCCCAGATGCTCAGCGGCCGCATGTAGGCCAGCGAGCGGAACACCCGCTGCTGGCAGTATGCTTCAGGGGTCTGGAAGGCCAGGCCCAGACGCTCCCACACGGTTCGGTAGCAGCCTTCAGCTGTCTGGAAGCCTTCCCAAGTCAGGCCCTGGAGGAAGAGATGTCAGGCACATTACTTGCCAATCCCTGAATAGCTACTTCAGCTGGACAGATAGAGACAATAGGGCCTCTGCCCTCAGGGAGTTCCCAGCCTGTGGTAGAAATAAGCTTGACCCATAGACAGAACCTGAAGGCAGGAAATGGAAGGCATGCAGGAAAAAGGGAGAGGCTTTCCAGATGGGTAGGGCCCTACAGAAGTTCGATGGCTAAGGAAGTTTACCAGCCCAGGATACAGATGGTGGAGGAGAGATGGAAAGGGAGTGCATTACCTCCTGGATCATGGTGGCTGCCAACCCGTAGACTACACCCACCCAGACTTCATCAGACTGGACACTGGATCTGTCAGGGACACCATGGGGCTGCATCCCATTCACAGCCCCCATGGCTCCTCCTGCAAAGGCCCGGACATTGAACTCGAAGATAGTCTGGAGAGCACAGACCACGTGGCGGGTAGGAAATACCTAGAGGGGCAAAGGCAGAATCACGGTTTCCTAAATGTGCTTCCCACCTCCAGGGGAAACCCACCTTTTTCTCTGGCTCCTCCTCCTCGTCCTCCTCACCTCGGTGTCTCCTTCTCCTAGACCACTGGCCCTCAGGAACCACTGGCCAGCGCACTGGTCAGACATGATGCTACAGGACTGAGGCTGAGGGCTGCAGTCATAGTTGTAATAGCGGCCTGGCGTAGAGGAAGACAAAATAAGGTTTCCTGTGGCCCCACAGCTGTCTTAAGACTCCTTAGGATCCTCCAACTCACCATTCCACAGCAGTCTCTCATAGGCTTCTTGGCCCCGTCTAAGGATGGAAGAAAACTTATCCTGGACGTCCTGTGCCCCACACAGACCCGCCATCTGGACCATCACAGCCACAGCTGCCAGCCACAGTCCTCCACAGTAAGCACTGATCAGGGACACGGGTTTGGGGGGTCAGACTGGCAGCTCCAGCCACTCCCATACAACATCACAAGCAATGACTCATTCTTCCTTGAGCCCACAATTCCTTGGTGCCCAGTTCCCCACCTCAGGCACCCTGGAAATCCCTACTCCCCAACCTGGGGCCTGTGGTGATCCATCCATCATAAGTCTGGTCTGCATAGCCTCCATTCTCAATAAGTCCATCTTGGTCCTTGTCAAACTTCATTTCAGACTCCATCACAGCCTAGAGAGGAATTAAGACACTGAAGACCTAGGTCTTCAGTGCTAAAGAAAGACAACAATAGCCCGCTGGGCTGTCCCCAAACACCAGTCGTGCCCTTGGCACACTGGCCACTGCACATGCATGTCTTACCAGGCACACAGGCCACATGTCTCTCAGGAAGCCCTGGTCCCCCGTCAGGTAATAGTCTCGATAAACCTGCAGCACAAACTTCAGGTTTAAGTCCTTCCAGTCCGCGGTATCGTGGACCACATATGCATTGACTCGGAGCCATGGCTCGTCATCTGTGGGAGGGGAGGAAACCTGACTGATTTGCATTGGTGGGTAGAGGGTGCAAAAGTTGAGGGAGGGAAGTGAACCCTGGGGTGGAGGTACTTTTACCTGGGTCCCCAATATCATGGGGGATGACGTTCCTCCTTTTCACAGGTGCCATTACCCCACTCATCAGGTACTGTCGCCGTGTCAGGTCCTCCCTGAGTGTGGCCAGAGCTGGGGAAGCAGACACACAAGTGGGGGGGTGGGTAGGGAATGGGCAGACTTGAGGTGGAGCTCAGAACTGTGTTTACGACTCTGGAGGGGAGCCAGTAAGCAGGACGAGTGGAGAGGAGGGTGGAGGCAATCTGAGGGGCCACAAAGATTCGGTGGGGCGGGGGAGACGGCAGAAGGGGCACAAAAGGGACCCTCACCCATGTCATACTGCAGGCTGAGCTCGAGTTTGGGCCAGAGCATGACGAGGGCAAAGGAAGCGTAAAAGTGGACGTCATATGTGTTGTACATGCGATATTCCTGGCCTGGGGGAAGGAGGGAGACACACTTGCCAGAATTCCTGCTTCCCCTGGAATTGGGGATGGGGCACTGGCCTACCCCACACCGGCCGCTTACCCCCTCATCCCAACCAATCCCCCAGGGTAGGCAAAACCCACTGTCCTGCTTTGTGGTAGGGCACTAACTGGCCTCATGGATACTGTGGCCCACCAGCTGCCTGTACCTTCCAGGTAGCCAAATCGACCGTATTCCCGGAGGATGGGGCGGAGCTGACACATGCTCCCCACCAGCTCCTCTGGTAGGGAGTCCTCGGGAACTTCCAGCCATACTGTGCCTCCATCAGCCAGGAAGTATAGTTCATTGAACAGCGCAGATTTGTACCAGGCAGGCAAGGATCTGGGGAGTCAGGAGGAAGAAATGGTCTGATGAGTGTGGATCTCCCCGGAAGGGAAGGATTCTGGAGTTCTCAGAGCAGGGGGCACCAGGTGAATCCCAGCCCAACTCTGCTGACTATGGTTGAGTGGAGACTGAACCAAGGAGTCCCAACTGGAGTGTGAGTGCCCAGGAGAAAGGCAAGAGATCAGCCCCATTGGTACCTGTCGTCCAGTATTGGGCTCTGCCAAGCTGAGATCTTCTCTTCCCAGTCCACATATCGGCACAGGGCATAGTGGCTAAGGGCAGGCGCTGCATTACCATCGCGGCCAAAGAACCTCGTGTACCGCCTGGGATGGATAAAAAGGGGAGGAATGAGAACTCGGGTTCCAGGTCAGAGCTCCAGCACCTTGGATCCCTGTACTCTCTTGGTCCCTTCACCTGTAGTAGACCTGGCCCTTAGCTCCAAACATGATTCTGGGCATATCCCAAGCCAGTGAGAATTCCAGGCGGCACTGGCCTCGAGGTGGCAGCTTGCCTGTAACACACACAGCCCCAGCGATGCCTACTCCTTTCTGCGAGGGGGTGCTTCGGCCTGAGAGAAGCACAGGAGAAATCGGCATAGGCACCCCCTTCAGCCCCAGGGATCCCTAATATGGGAAAATAAGGCCTTTTCGTTAACCAGTGCTCTCACCCCTCCTCCCAAGACAGGGACAACCTCTCTTCCCACCACCTCCCTATCAAATGCCCCCATCACCAGCAGGGGAGTCCAGCTGTCCATCTTGAAGTAGATCTTGCCACACCTGCTGCCCAGTGCTGTCAGGGTCAAAGGCTGTGATGTGGGTTACCGTGGTAGCCGCCTGTTAAGGGGCCAAAGACTCTTTGAGGGGAAGCTCCACAAGTACGCTGGCTTTGGACTACTCTCCAGTGCCCATTATAATTCCCACCAGAGGCTTAAGGGCTGTAGTGAGGATGGAACTCAGGAACTGAGGAAAGGAAGAGCCCGTGGTGGGATGCAGTGAACTTGGGGGCCAGGCTGAGGGGAGGCGTTTGGGGGCTAAGGTCTAGGGGAGGCTCTAATGTACCGTGAGTCGTGCAGCCACAGCCATCGTGTAGGGATTTGGAAGGGTTGGATGATGCAGCAGCAGCCCCTGTGCGGTCTCCCCATCACGCTCCAGACAGAAGGGCTCATTCCACAATCCCCCTGGGGCATCATCTCCAACCCCCAGTCCATTCCGCATGGAGAACATGATGGACACATCCAGGGCTTCGTCCCCTTCATTTTCCACATCCCACACAAAGACTCCTACAGGCAGGCTGCTGTCCTGGGAGCAAAAGATCAGACTCAGATGGTCCCAGTGTAGCCCCTCCTGGCCCCACTCCTCTGAACTGAGGACCTGGCTCAAATACTATCCCCTGCCCCCAGTAGACTCTCTTTAGTTTCCACTTGCATCTCCCCGTATTCCCAGGCAGGGGGTCTTACCACTGAGCGGAGGTCCTGGAAAACCAGCAAGTCATGTTCCGGTCCCCTCTCTTTCAAGGATTGTGGAATTTACAGCAGAGACAGATCTCAGGGAAGGGAGGGCAATGGAGGAAACACAGTGGGAGCCTCACCTGGTAGTCATGGGGCAAGATGGGTGTGATCTGGCGACAGGTGAGGGTGACATTCTGGCCAGGAAGCTGATAGACAGTCCAGGCTCGGGGATAGAGGGCGTGGTAGAATGCAAAGTACCCACACAGGCCCCAGTTCCAGCTGCGCAGGACACTTGGGCGCTCCACGGACAGGACTTGCTGGTACACGGTCTTCCCCTCCCGACGCAAGCACACTGTGAACTAAACCAAGAAAGCAGATAGGCTGGGATGGGGTAACCACAGCCACCTCAAACTCGTCTCCCCTCCCCTTTCTGGGCCTACAGGGGTTATCACCGCACCACAGCCTCGCTCATCCGCCAGGCCCCTCTCCCGCACTGTGAGTCACCACCAGGTCCTACCTCCTCCTCTCTCCACCCCCACCCCTGTTTCCTCTCCTTTCTTACTGCGGTGGTCTTCGTGCCCTCACCATTTCTTCATTTATGCTCTGCCGCCTCCCATCTGTTATCAGTGATCTTTCTCACAGACAAGTCAAGATGTGCCAGGCTGTGTTTATGTTTCAGTGACTCCCCATGGCCCTCAGGCTAAAGGCTAAACTCTTCTACCTGGCTTTCAAGGCCCTTCTTGATCTGGCCTCTCCCTGCCCATCAGACGCATTACCTGTTCAAGCACTTACATTCTGGTCATGTCAAATACTCACTGTTCCTTGAACACACTACATTTCCTCCTCTGTGCCTTTGCTCCTGCTCATTCTCCATCTGATGAAACCGCTCATCCTTCAAAGCCTAGGTCAAATGCCATCTCCTCTCCTCAGGCAGTGAGTCATTGTCCTGTATGTGCCCCTACCTCTCTAGTCTAGCATAATGTTTTTGTTTACGTTCTGACTCCCTGATTGCTCTATGGGTTCATTGAGGGCAAGGCCCTCTCCAGTTCACAGAGGCTCCCCCCACCTCCACTACGACTCCACCACCAGAAACAGGCACAGTTGGCATGTATAGGGAGAGAATGGGCCAAGTGTCCATTTTTTCTCAGTGTACTATCCCTCTCATTTTGGTTCTTATGTGGTCTGACAGTCTCCATTTTCTCAAAGTCCTATTTGCCTAATAAAAATTTAAGCTTCTGGAGGATAGGGGATATGAGGGGCTAATATCTCTTCCCTTGCTTCAAAGTATGCCTGATATTTTTATGTATGTATACAATAATTTTTAATATTGCTGGAATGGTAGAGAATGGTTAAGACCACATCGAGAGCTGGTTCTGAATCCCAACGTGCTTCCATTTGCCAACCACATGACCTTGGGGGTGTTTACTAAATCTCTTTGGATCTTAGTTTCCTCATCTATAAAATGGGCATAATAATGGTACTTAACTTGTAGGACTGTCTTTAAATATTAAATATCATACAAAATGCATAGCACAATCTCTAGCACATGTTAAGCATGCAATAATTACTTTAACTCTAGAGTCATGATTCTGGCAGGCACGTCCCCTCAGGATACCTAATGGATGAGCCAGAGAGGAAGCTTGGGGCACTGGGCAGGGCTGGTAAACCTGAACTAGGAAGGGCATTGTCATTAATTGGACTCAAGGTCTGCTAGTCATTTTTTTCTTTGAAGATCAGCTGAAAGTTGGAGGCATCCCTCAGACAGGAAATGGGAATGTGGTGGACAGCTCTACCTGTGAGGTCACTAGAGAGACAGGACGAAAGGTAGACCATATGACTCTGGCAATTGAAGGCCCGCCCAGATGTGATGAAGGAACAGAGGGAAAAGAAGTGAAGCTTCAGAAAAGGGAAAAAGGCCTGAGAGCTATGTCTGGGAGAGGAGGGGCTTCCCAGGTTCTTAGCCAAGGAGACCTCCAGAGGAGTGATCAGCAGAGGAGCTGACCTCTAGCTGAAGGCTGGCCAATCAGGGTGAACAGTGGGTGTTCTATACATCTTTTTTCTCCACGCATTTATAGACTTTTGGTTTGTTTTCCCTTCTGGTCCTACTACGTGTTCTTTCACCTAGGCTAAGTGATCTGGGAATTCCCTGTACCCTCTGTGCAGGTACTGGCTGAGTTAGTGGAGCTGGGGCAGTATGAAGGATGTTAAGAGGCATTTACTAGAGAATTGGAGGGCACGGGGGTGCTGGGGCTGTTGACGCTTTTCAGAAATGTGTGCCCTTGGAGTATCTCATTCCTAGTACATCCTAGCACAAGGCTGGGCACAAGGAAAGCATCCTAAAATACTTATTGGAGTGAACCAGGTGCACATGTGCACATCGAACGTCCACATCCTACATGGGCCAAGAGGTTCTTCCTGACCCGGGATGTTGTTCTGGACCTCTCTTCCACCTCCTGGTTCTTACCTGGTCAGCGACGACCGTTCGGTGCTTGTACATTCCAGGGTCAAGCTGCCAGCGGCAGAACTGGCCTCTCCAGCCTCGGGTGATAGTGCCTCCCCCGATGCCGCCCAAAGGACAACCTAGAGGGAGATCAGGATAGTCAGTGAAGCACGGTGAGAGGAAACGAAGCCCATTTCTTACTTTCTAGACCATAGACATGAGTTCCTCTAAAAACCACGGGAATATCAAATCAACACATTGTACACTTTAGTTTTTCTTTTTAAAGATTTTTTTTTTTTTCAATTTGACAGAGAGAGAGACAGCAAGAGAGGGAACACAAGCAGGGGGAGTGGGAGAGGGAGAAGCAGGCTTCCCGCGGAGCAGGGAGCCTGATGTGGGGCTTGATCCCAGGACTCTGTCATCATGACCTGAGCCGAAGGCAGACGCTTAACCATGGAGCCACCCAGGCACCCCTACATTGTACACTTTAAACTAACATGATGTTTTGTGTCAACTACAGCTCAATAAGGTTGGGGAAAGAAAACCCCAGGGGATGGGGCCGTGCAACGTGCTTAAGCTGGAAGCCTCTTTGCCTATCTCTGCAGTAGACCCGGAGGCTGGGCCCTCTCTGCAGAGCAGAGCTGGGGTGAGGCTCACCATAGATCTGTCTCAGGGGCACACAATTGATGAGGTCAATGAAAGGTGTCTTCTTCTCCACCTGGGTCTTCTGGTACCACCACTGCAAGTACCTGAGGAGCAAGAGGCAGTGTGAGTAGAAGGGGCAGGGGGTGGTACCTCCTGGGCTGCAGTCACTTGCCTCTCTCCAGATACCCAGTTGTAACTTCCCATCAAATGGGTCTGCAGAGGACCCATTCTCTTCACTTCCAAATCTCTCCTCCTCTCTATTTCTCAACAGTTCTATTTCTCTTCCCAGTCACCCCAGCTCACAGCATGGGACTGTCTTTGTTTCTCCTCTCTCAGGAGCTTTCTGACCTTGCCTCACCTCCAATTCTACTATCACTGCTTAGTTAGCTTAGGAACTTTTGTTTGAGGTGCTGAAAGGGCCAGTTTTGGTTTCCCAACTACACCCCCCTCCCCCAATAGGCACAGTCTCCTGGGATAAATTTCTTCTTTTTAAAATGATTATTTTTCTTCGTGATTGTGAAAGGTGAAAATCTGTAGAATATGCCAGATGGAAGGGAAAAAAATCCCACCCATAGACAACCAGTATTTACGTTTTGGGGCATATCCTTTTAAGTCTTTTTTAAAAGTTCATTTAAACTGTAAGCTTTCTGAGTCTGCTCTCTCATAATATCCTAGTAAAGCCTAAAAAAACCCCTACATTTTCCTGGTCTTGTCACAGCTCTGTGTCCAACAGGCAAATGATTCTGTTTGGGATTCAAGGCTCTGACATCTGTTTCAGCCTAACTTCTAATCTTAAGTCCTACAAATCCCCATTCAGAGTGGGTCCTCACTAAGCAACCCTTGCCCCACCAGACTCTCCCAATTCCACTATCCTCCCAACCCAGCTATTTTATACCCATTGTTCAAGCATGCCACTTGTAACCATGTAATTGGGGTAAGTAACTCCTCTGACCCTCAGTTTCCTCATTTGCAAAACGGGGTACCTCCTGTCCTCCCTACTTCATGGAGTGGTTGAAAGAGCAAATGGCATAACAGAGAGGAAACCCATCAAGTGGAATATGTGTGTCAGGTACGGTCGTTACCTGTACATACACTATCTGAACGCCCAATCAGACCCTCTTGTTATTTCTAAGTGTTCCTCATGTGAGTCTGACATACTTTTAAATTCCTCGGGGAAAGGGTTATTGACAAAGACTAGTTGATTACCCACAGCATCAAGCACAGGCAGGGCATGTGGTCTGCAGTTGATAAACACTTGCTGAATTTACCAATGATTGTACAAGCAGTGGGGCACTAGACAGATGAACACAAAGAGAAGCAAGGGGAGGAGAAATGAGACTAGGAAAGGTACATTCTGGGAGGAGGGGGAGGCGGAGGGAGGGCAAAGGATGAGAGGATGGGAAGGCACCAAGTTCTCTCTGCCATTTTAGAGTAAGCTGGACTTTGAAACTAGAGGCCAGAAAGAATTGGGGAAGGGAGGGTGGGTGCAGTGGGGATTAGGGCAGTAAGGGAGAAATGCAAGATCTGGAGATAGGCAGAACAAAGGAGCATCTCGCAGAGAACAAGCACTCAATAAATACTAATTGAATGAATGGACTCTAGCTGGAAGGGACAGCAATCAAAATTGAGATCTTCCCACAATGAGGCCAAGAGAATGTCGGCTTGCTACAACTCCTGATTAGAGTACCCCCAGTCTGGCTTCCTCTTGGGGTTCACTTCTCATTCCCTTAACTTGGCAGCTGGCCATTCCTGATCTATTTGGCCTTCTCCATAATGTCAGCCCCAATTTAAGGATTATCATTCAGAATTGTTCCTTGTCTCACCCCTGCTTTCTCCTCAATGCAGGACTGCATCCTGTTCTAAAAGCCCTGTGTCGGTGATCTCCACCCTATCCTGGCTTGTGGAGCCAAGGCCCAGGGGGCTGAGCACGGCTTCAGGTCTCTGACTCAGTTCATACTTAGGGACCGAAGGGCTAGGATGCCCACTTGTTCTTGATCTCAGGGTCCCTATCACATGCACCCCAGCGTGCTTCTCTCAGCACTCTAGCCCTCGATCTTATTTTGACCCAGAAGCTTTTGGTGTCAAAGTTAGGCTGAGTCAGTTTCTGAAGTAGACTGTAGGGATGATTGTTCTCTGGGACAGGCTACCCACAGGACCTAGCAAAGGAGCCAGATACCCAGGCAGTGCCAGACCCTTCCCACTGCTGAGAGCTGGGGTTAGGTAAATGGGCTATCCAACCCAGCCCTACAGCACTGACTGAGAGGGAAGGATCCCCTAGTTTAGAGGCTGTTAGGGCTGGGTTTTCCAACCTTTATGCTTCCATCCCCAGCTGTGTTTACAGTGTGGGCTGACTCAGGATGACCTCAGGGTGATGCTTTCTGTCTTCATATCCACCTGTTCCTGTTAATAGGTCTTGGCTCCTCATCACTAGCTTTTGAACTCAGAGGGGATCTGTAGGGATCTAAAGGAGTTCTACAGCTCAGGGTAAGTGCTTGGGGTGTCTGTAACCCTTGGGGGAAAGCGCATCAGCGCAGGCTCTGGAAGGCTATTATTACTGAGAGCTCTGGGGACACTTATGGCAGTGCCTCTCTGGCCAGAGGTCTTCTTTGCTTTTTATATCAGGGATTGTCTATCCCAGAAGAGAGTGAACACCTCTCACACCCTCTCCTTGGGGTGAGAGCAGGCAGGCTGTCACCCACTCCCTGGAGCTAAAGCTTGAGGAAAGAAACGTAATGTGGTATGCCTAAATGAGGCAAGGAGAGTACCCCAGCTGCTCAGGGGAATCAGGGTTGAGAACTTCCCCCCTCCTGAATAAAACAACATTGTGTCAGTAGGCAGCCGCCAGACTATCCTTTCCCACCTTGCAACAAAGTATAGCAAATGCCAAAGGGCGGTCTTTGGGAAAGAGGGATTATGTGAGAGGGAGCTTAAATGGGAAAGGCTGACTACAGGCCCAGATGTTCCTGTTCTTTCCTACTAGGAAGTAAGTTACTGGGAGGAAGGGGGTTGCAGAGATGTGACCCGGTCTCACCCCCCCAAAACCACAGGCTTAGAATATGTTGGGGGTGGGGGGCCAGTTGACTGGGACAAAGCATCCACCTGCTTTCTCACCCTTTCTCACCTGGAACAAGGTGAAACCTAAGGTACTCTAGGCAATGGGATCTACTCACCGCAAGCCCATGCCCAGATGCTTTATCAGGTTGCTTAGAGACACGTTGTTGGCATTAAAGGGTTTCCTCTTCTCTGCAAATTCATGAGCTAGGCAGATGCGCCAGCCAAAGGGAGGCACCTGGTAGCCCTTAGCTTTACCTTCATAAGATGCCATCAGTTGCCCAGAATCCTCCGGATTGCTGTAGCCTGGCTCACTTTGGGGTCGATTGTCCTCAGAGCTCTCGAAGTCTGTAACCTGCCCAGCCTCAGTGCCTCCAGCATTTTCAGGGCAATAAATCTGTGGTTCCCCTTTGGCACACCTAGTCTGCTCCGAGGCTGGGACTCCAGTTCCCATGTTTCCTGGATCCTGGGTCCCCACGACCTCGATGGTCCCGGGTCCTAAGTCTTTTGGTACAAAATACCTCGCCAGCCAAGTCGAGATGCGGGCGGCTGTGGTGGTTAGGTGTCGTCTCGGAGGGCCGGGCGCTGGGAAAAGCCGAGGTGAGCTAGCGTCTCTGTGGAGCCTGGGAGCTGTTGCTGCAGCGGCGTTGGCGGCGACAGCAATGAAGCCGCCTCGGACTCCCCCTCGGTAGTCTCTCTGGGTCCTGGGAGGGAAGGGTCAGGCCTCGTCGTCATTGGGCCGCGGTGATTAGTTTGCCCGGCCAAAGAGCTACCGAGTCCGCGAAAAGAGGAGGAGCCCCGGGGGCCAGCCCGCAAGGAACCGCCCCCGGGACCGTCCTGGGATCTCGCGGCAGCCTCAGCCCGGTCCAAGGGCCGTGGCGCCAGGCCCCTCCCTGGGTAGGGCGCCGGGTCCCGCCGGTTGGTGTCTGGGACAGCGCCTGCGCCCAGGTGCCAGCCCGTAGGAAGTTGACCCCAGGCGGCGGGACGACCAGAGCCCCTTCCGGTCCGGTTAGGCGGGTGTTTCCGGCCGGAAGGCGCTCGGTCGGGAAGGGGACTGAAGGGAAGTCCCGCCTCTGCCGCGGACGTCGCCACGCACTGGGCCGGGTCCTGCGGGGGAGGGCAGGTGAGGGCCTAGGTGTGCCACGACCCCGTTTTCGACCGTGCGAGGTGCCCGGGGTTGGGGCACAAGGTGACGGGCGGCCGTGGCCTTGGGCTGGGACCTGGAATCTGGCGGGAGCGGGGCGGAGGCCGGTTTGGAGGTTCCGGGGGGTGGGGTAAGGGGACTAACTCAGCGCTTAGAGGGGCGGGGGACTGGGAGCCCGAGCGACGACCTCCCCCTACTGAGTCAGCTGCCACCCGTACTTCCCATCCACCTCCCGCACCCCAAATCCAGGAGCTTCCCTCAGACACCCTGGTGGTGACCGGCCGTCTCCTCTGTCCTCGCCCCGAGGCTCGCCGCAGACGCCCCTGCCTGCCATGGGACTGACTTCTGACCCCCCCCCCCCCCGTTTCCTTCTAGATCTGATTCCGGAGCTGCCATGATTGAAGTGGTAGCAGAGCTGAGCCGAGGTCCTGTGTTTCTGGCGGGGGAGGCGCTGGAGTGTGTAGTGACGGTCACCAACCCCCTGCCCCCCACGGCAACTTCTGCGTCCAGGTGAGAATGGAGATACTGGAGAAGGTGGTTCTTTTGGGAGGAAGCCTGGTATCTGTAGTGCTAAGCCAGAGCTCAGGTTGTCCTGTAGCTGCGCCACCACCTTCTTGCTCACTGTGTTCTCATTGTAGGAAGGAAAGGGCTGTTTAACAAAAGATGTGGTTGACAGAACCCTCTACACTCCCTTCCTCCCTACTCCCCCATTCGCACTTTTACCCATAGTATACTTCTCTTTGTTTAATGGATTCTCTTTGGGGTTCTAGATTCCCTGATTCCTAGGACAGCCACCTCACCGTGTTGGTCTCCTCAGGGGGGGTTAGGGAGCTTGGGAGAGCATTTATGAGGTCAGCAACTCCCCTCTGATGCCTTCTTTTCCTCCTCCCGTAGTGAGGCTCTGGCCTGGGCCAGTGCCCAAATCCACTGCCAGTTCCATGCGAGTGAGAGTCGAGTAGCACTACCTCCCCCTGACTCCAGTCAGCCAGACGTCCAGCCGGAGAGCCAGACTGTCTTTCTACCGCACCGAGGTTAGAGGAGGGCATTTGCCTTTAGAAGGGGGGAATCATTGTCATCTGAGAGTAAATTTGTAAAATTGTTCTAGTGGGTCCTTCCTGTCTTTGTCATATCGGAGATGAGGGGGAATGTAATTGTTACTTTGGGGGTTTAAGACTGTTTGTATCTTAAAACAAGAGAAGGGGGGTGGCTTAGTTTGGGCTGCTTTTGTTGGCAGTGCTTACTGCCCCTACTTGCTGTGCTAGCTTCATCCGGTACTGGACAGTGGGGTCATTAAATTGCAGTCTTTTGGGTGGCTGCAGCCTGGGTGGCTCAGATGGTTAAGCGTCTGCCTTCGGCTTGGGTCATGATCCCAGGGTCCTGGGATCAAGGCCCACATCGGGCTTCTGGCTCAGCAGAGAGCCTGCTTCTCCCTCTCCCTCTGCCTCTCCCCTCTGCTCATGCTGTCTCTCTCTGTATTTCTGTGTCTCACATGAATAAATAAAATCTTTAAAAGAAAATAAAAATAAATTGCAGTCTTTTTAATCTCTTTTAGGTGAGAGAGGTCAGTGTATCCTTTCCACTCCACCAAAAATCCTTTTCTGTGATCTGAGGCTAGATCCCGGAGAGTCCAAATCATGTGAGTGATTGCCTCCTCCCCACCCCTGGATTGCCTTCTAAGGCTCCTGGAGGGAGGACTTCTCTGGCTGCCTCTGGCTGCCCTGACTACTACTTCCCAACCAGACTCCTACAGTGAAGTGCTGCCCATAGAGGGACCACCCTCCTTTCGGGGTCAGTCGGTCAAGTATGTCTACAAACTGACCATTGGCTGCCAGCGTGTCAACTCACCCATCACTTTACTCAGGGTTCCTCTGAGGGTTCTTGTGCTGACAGGTAAGTAAGGATTTCTGGAAATGATCTGTAGAGGGCTTGTGAGGGGGGCTGGAGGGAGGCTTCCTGGTCTTAGTAAAGGTGTGAGGGGGTTGGAGAGGGAGGGTTCTGGACAATAGGTTAAGATGGGTACCTGGGGCATGGCTCCCATTACTTTCAGCCTTCACAGGTTGGAGTCTAAAACCCTAACTTCTACTGTCTATTCCCTCCTAGCACTGCTTTCCACTTATTCTCTCTGTAGGCCTTCAAGATGTCCGGTTTCCCCAGGATGAGGCTGTAGCCCCATCTAGTCCATTCTTGGAGGAGGATGAAGGTGGGAAGAAGGATTCATGGCTAGCTGAGCTGGCTGGGGAGCGTCTCATGGCTGCCACATCCTGCCGCAGCCTCCGTGAGAATCCTTTCACAATTGCCACCCCCTCCAACGCCCCCCCATAGTATTACAGATGTTCCTAATTGCCACGTACTTCTGAGGATTCACTGATATATCCCACATTATAAAGAAAAGCCCCACCTTGGCCTCTGGTTCCCAGCCCAAGGTACTCCCCAGTGTGGACGCCAGGCTTATAGTGTCCCATTCTCCCCAGATCTATACAATATCAGTGATGGCCGAGGAAAAGTTGGGACATTTGGCATCTTCAAATCTGTATACAGACTCGGCGAGGATGTGGTGGGGACCTTAAACTTAGGGGAAGGAACTGTAGCTTGTTTGCAGGTGAGAAGGAAAGGGGCTTTTGGGATGCTGGGCCTGGAGGGCTAGGGAGGAAGAAGGGCCTACATAGAGGGGTGGTATATAGAAGTGAATAGTGTGGTCACCCAGGGTTCTTTTGGTAAAACAGCTTGGGGTTGGGCTCAAGTCTCTCATCTAAAGTTTGCACTTCTCAGTGCCTGCTACCACTCACTTCTTTTCTTGGTCCCAGTTTTCAGTAAGCTTACAGACTGAGGAGCGTGTACAGCCTGAGTACCAGAGGCGCCGCAGGACGGGGGGTGTCCCCTCTGTGTCTCATGTGACTCATGCCCGGCACCAGGAGTCCTGCCTGCATACAACCAGAACGAGCTTCTCTCTCCCCATCCCTCTCAGCTCCACCCCAGGCTTCTGCACAGCCATTGGTGAGATCCTGACCCTTATCGGAGGGGGGAAGAGAGTAAAATGCCGTATTTCCATAGAGTGTAATGGGTCCTGATTCCTAACAAACTCCCGGCTATACCCACACCCAGCCTCTGACCCTTAACACTTTCTCAGACCTTCAACCTGTGTCCTAGATGCACCAACACTTAAACTCTTAAGAGCTTTGCAGGTATCCTTCCTTCCCCTACCCACTGAGACCCTATGATACCTCGATCTCTGATTCCCCGGCATGTTTACTTCAAGCTACCAAGTCTATGCTATGGTTATTAGATGCTTGACCTTGCTATCCTGATTGTCACATTTCTATTAACAGATTTCTAGCCCTGTGACTTCTCCCTCTCTTCCTGAATCCCGCTTTTTTTCCTCATTCACTAACCACATCCTGCATTGGGTTTTACTTCTGGCTTCTAATGCCTCTGCCTTTTATCTTTTTCTTTTCCACAGTGTCCCTGAAGTGGCGATTGCATTTTGAATTTGTAACATCGCGAGAACCAGGTTTGGTGCTCCTACCTCCCTTGGAACAGCCCGAGCCTGTCACCTGGACTGGGCCTGAGCAAGTGCCTGTAGACACCTTCAGCTGGGACCTCCCCATCAAGGTGCTGCCCACAAGCCCTACCCTGGCCTCATATGCAGCCCCAGGCCCCAGCACCAGCACCATAACCATCTGAAACTGGCTCACCGTGACACTGTCTTTCTTCAGGATACTAAGAACTCAGCATCTGGACTCTAGTAGGGCCCATTTTCCCCACGCGGGGTCCAATGGCACGGACAATGAGAGGCAGGCTTTCAGCTGTAGCATTAATTTATTTATTCAGAATAAATTGGCAGCTGCTAGTGGTTTCCCTGGAAGTGGCAGCAGCAGTGGGCAGTCAGCAGAAGGGTGATCAGTTGAGTTTAGCTGGAGTGGGGAGCAGGAGCCCCAGGAGCAGGGGTGTTAGCTGAGCCCCATTCTGGGTCGGGCCCTCCGCCTTTGCAGGGCAGCCGAGGGTCAGATTTTTGCACCAGGGAGAACTGGCAGGTTCCTGCCTCCTGACGTACCTCACAGCCCGCGGGGAAGTCGATGGGATGCTGGGACCTGGGGAACCAAAGGATGGGAAAGGAGTCAGCACAGTGAAGGGCCACCTTTATCCCTGCCCCACACTTGCTCTCTGCCAGCATTCCTCCTATATCTTTAGTGCCCTCTTGGTCCCCCTAACTAAGCTCTCGCCTACCATATATGGATTTTTTCATTTCATAGCAGAAACATTTTCCGTCCAGACCCACCCCTACATCCCCTCACTTTGTAGCCTGCAGCCTTATCTCTCAAACTCTTGTTGGTACCTTCGGGTTCGGCCAGCCTCATACCACTGTTCTGTTCATTGTCACATCACAGCAATATGGTTACGCCCTGGCCAGCCCTCAGTCACTCATGTCAGAGCCATTCTCTCTGGCCATCTTTGGTCACTCACGTGTCACAGCAGCCCACACCGACGGGATGCAGACAGGTACAATGGAAACAGTCCTTGCGGAGCCAAGACTCACCCAGGGTAAAATACTTCCCTTCATAGTGGCAGGGGGCTAGGGAAGAATAGGAAATGTTAGTGTGTTTGGGAGTGGTGGTGGCAGACAGGATCGCTTGTGGTCTGGAGTGGGAGAAAGTAAGTGCATATCACCCCCATTTTTAGTCTCTCCTGTTTCCGAGCTGAGGGGAGTCTGGGTATTCCGAGAGAGGATCATCTCTAAGCCCCCCAGATCATCTCTAAACCCCAGCTCCCTCTGTCCCTGTCCTTTCCTAACGCCGCCCCCAGCTTTACCTTGAGCTTGGAAGTAGCACTTGCTGTGGACTCCTGGCTGCTGGAGGAGCAGAGAGATCACCAAGCAGATGATCCCCCAGCTTCCCAGGACCCCCTTCGCCTGTCCAGTCCAGCACATCCTTGGGGTCATTCCTGTGCACAGCCCTCGCGATCCCTTCTTGGTCTCTGTTCAGGCTACTCTGGCTTGTCTCTGGCTTTTCTTTGTTTTTCTCCTTGGGTCTTAGTTTCTTTCTCCCCTGGGCTCCTGTCTCACACCATCTCCGTGCCCTCTGCTCTCGCAGGCTTGGGGATGTTTATAAAGTGAGGACCCTGGCCCCCTGCTGAGTAGAGCTGGAAAAGCTGTAACTCTGTTTCCTGAGGTGAGGGCATGAAAACAAGAGGTCTAGCTTTAACAAGCTGTGAGAGCTGATTCATGCCCCGGCACAGCTGGGGGAGGGAGGTGGCCATGGAAGGGGCACTGGACTGGGCACTTCCCCAGCAAGGAGGTGGGAGGGGTGAGGGCCCCCAGGTGGTCCCTACATCTCTTCCCTGACCTGGAGAGAAGGAAGCATTCCACCCCACCACCCCACCCCCAGCACACACACTCCAGGGGTGTGTGTGCTGGGATCCTTGCCTGGACCGGAGGGAGGCATTTCCTGGGGATGGCTAATCCTGTGCCCCAGCCAAACCAAGGAGCTGCAGTAGGGTGCGACAGCCAGAGGCTCCAGGAGAGCGAACAGGCCCCTGGAGTGCGGAATGTTTCTCAGATCCTAGCGCAGAGTCTCCCGGAAGTATCCTAGAGACATGGCTGCCCCTCAGAGATGGGGAGGTAGGTGTCTCTTTTGCACAGGCATACTGAGGATGCATTCATTGTTCAGTACCTCCAAACATATGGCAGATATAAGGTCTTCCCATATCTGGGGATGGTTCTTTCAAAGAGGAACATCCTTAAATGCCCTGATGGTATGAGTCACTCCAGTTTCACAGAGGTGCTCCTCTTTCCTCTTGTACATTATGGAATGAGAATTGAGGAATCCTCTGACATCCTCTTTTGGGTTTCCTGCAGGTTCTAGAGAGCCCCCAAGATGGGTGATTAAGAGCATAGGTTATAGAGTCAGACTAGTTGAATTCAGATCCTGATTGTACTTAAGACTGTGTGACTTTGGGCAAGCCACTTAACCTCTCTAAGTCTGTTTCCTTATCTTTACATTGGGATGGTAATACTAACTCAGGGTTGTTAAGAGGCTTTCAATGAGGTAATGCATGTAATGCTGTTAGTAGTGTCCCTGGCACATGGCCCTCAGAAAATATTAGCTGCTGTGATTGGTACTAGAGTTCAGAGACAAAATAGGTACGTTTCATTGTTTGAATCACATCGAGCAGCTCTGCATTGCTGAGGGCTTTTGTTGGGGGCTGCTATCTCCTACCACAGACTTCCGCCCTTTTCACATTCGTGTTTCATGTTGTCCTTACCACCTCCAGTTTGAGAAACAGTGTTGCTGATAAACCCACTTTTCCTAGGTCAGTACCCTTGCTTTTGCCCTGGGAAGAGGTGTCATTTTCTCATCCTTCCAGCTAACTTTGGGACTCCTGCTTTTCACATTAGGATTCTGATCCATTGCGTCCCATCCCCACTCATGTGAACTCTCAAGTTCTTTTTTTCTGACCACTCTAAAATGCTGGCCATCTCTTTGCTACTAATGGCTCCTTTCCTTCAGTTTGCCACACTCCAAAGACCCTATCCTAGCTGTTCCCCTCCTATGCAGAGAGCCGATCACTCTGACATTCTGTTTTTCCTTCTAAGTCTCCAGTCCCTTTTACTTCAAGACTCTCATTCCCTGTCACCCAGTGGATCAGCTACAACTACTTCTGGCTGAGCTTTTTAGAGGGCTACCCTGCCTCACCTCTTGACCATTCAGAAACAACTTCATCGATTCACCTCAGACTCCCTATCTGTTCCTCTTCCCAGTAGAGAGTTTAAGTGGATGGAGATGCCAGCTGTACATGTTCACCCTAGTTAGGTCTGATACCCTTTCTGTTTCAGAGGAGTACTGAGAGAAAAAAGGAAACTCATGGTTGAAGCAGGGTGCCCTGATAATAGGCTTGTGTGTGGGAGGCATGGCTGGAGGAGGTGGATGAGAAGGCCTTTCCAGCACAAGGCCAAGAAGTCTTGTCAGTGGTCAGTAGCTCTGCTGCTACCTTTCTGGGGAAGGGGGTCCTGCTGACACCCTGAAAGTCTGGACTAGTCTTTTGCTCCTGCAACCTGGAGCCAACCCAGTAGGGGGCAGACACGGCTGGGAAGCTGGAAGGTGATGATGCTGGAAGGCAAAGGGGGCCCAGTGGGAATTGGTTTATGTCAGATAATGGGGACCGAAGTGAAAGCCGCCTGTAATGAAGATAAGGTAGGCATATGGGCAGGAGTAGGGGACTTCTGGAAAGAAAGGCTGGGGCTGAGCCAGGATCCCTCTCTCAGAAGTTGTGGGGCGGTGGGTGTCGGGAAGATGTTGAACCCACTTGCCTTCCTGCTGGTGTATATGCTCCAGCGTGCGTCTCTGTAGCCATTTGGGGTCAGAGTCCACGCTTGTGGTTGCTATGTGTGTGTGCTTGTGTGTTGGGGATGTCAGTAGTTAGGGCCCAATTCTGTGATTCCTGGGGCAGCGGTCGTTGGGGATGCCAGTAGGGGGGGGCGCGGCCGGGAGGGGGCGTTTGGCGCTCACTGCCCGCGCGCGCGCGGGGACAGAAAAAACATCCGCCGGAGGCCCGGCCGGGCGGCGCTCCAGCGGCGCCGGGCAGGTGCATGCGGTGAGGAAGTGAGCGCATTCCGGGCCCCCCCCTCCCCACTCCCCGGCCGCTGGCCCTCCGGTGAGTCACCGCCGACCCGCGCTGCCCGTGGCCGGATGGAGGGACCGGCCCGGCGGGGAGATTTTGGTGGCCGGAGCCCCCGAGAGTGGCTGCGCGGGGGGAGCCCGGGGAGGGAGTTAAGGGGGGAGGGGCCCTGCAGGGTCCAGGTCCTGTTTTTACCCGAGGCGCGAAACCCCTAATAGACACTGAATACAGAGTCTGTGACTGGAGGCAGGCGGGGAATGTCCCTTGGGAGAATATTGGGGGGGCGGGGAGTAGGGAGAAGGCCCCAGAGAGCTGGCCGAGGGGAGGGAAAGGGATCCCGGGGCAAAACGCAAGTGGGTTAGGTGGTGCGGCCCAGGGAGGGGCGGAGTGCGGGGCTGCGGAGTGAGAGCGCAGCGGGCTGTAGTGCTAGAGGACCGCAGCGCCAGTGTAGGCCTTGGCGAGCCAGAACCTGTAGATGGAAGGAGACTTCCACACCAGGTAGGAAGGTGGAAATGGCCGGACCCCAGAGATAAAGTCTGTCCAGAGGTCTGTGCGCTCGGACAGTGGAGGCTAGGTTTTGGGGGTAGCGGGATTTAAGGTTAGATAGGTACTGTTGTGGCTAGGTCATTAAAGGCTTTGAATGCTGGCATGAGGATTTGGGATTTGGCCTCACAGGTAGAATCCACGACCTCTGAGAAAGAAGAGTAGTGAGTGACTTAAAGGCGAGGTTTTCTGTGTCTAACATTACTGCCTGCCATTTGGCCTTTGCCAAAGAATTAGGCATTGATGTGCTAATTTTAATAGTCATTTAAAATCACATAACTGTATTTATCAAATGATTAAATGTTGGTTTTTAAAAATAGAGAAGTTGAAAAATCTGATTAAATATTTGATTTGGAACCCTTAGTAAGGCTATCAAGATTAGTTATATGGCATTGTAATGCTTTTGTGCCATTTTCCCCTTGCTGACTTGAGTGAATTCTGTGTTTCTAATGCCCCATTTCTGTTATCAGCACAACACATCTCATTCCCCCTTCCCTCATCTTATGGTCTTTATTTTTAACCTTAGCTTTTTTCTGTGCAGCCCTTTAACCTGTCCTATTCTTGGGGTGGGGCAATAGGGTACAGTATACAAAGACAGATAACTCGGTTTTAAGTATATATTAAGTTACTTACTATCTCCTATGGGCATGTATGTAACTACGAAGTTTCTGTTTTTACCCTGTGGCTGATAGAAAGCTAAAGGTGTTTTATTCAAAGTAGCATTTCTATAACAGCACTTATTAGTCTGATTGCTAAAATTAACTCTACAATGGTATTTTGTACTTTCTCAGAAACTGATACTAATTCTGTCATGATCTTTATAGTTTATTTTATCTTGGGCCAAAGGCAATTCCAGGGAGTAGGATCTTTATAATTTATTTTAAAGATCTTTAAATCCTGCAGTTGCCTTTGGCCCCAGGCAAGAAAATCTGGGTCAGTTAATTAAAAAAAATAATAATAATTTCCTGCTTTGGGCCCTGTTGCTTTCTCCTGTGCTGTTTCAGGCCCAGCTCTACCTTAATCCCAGTGGCTTTTGCCTTCATTCCTTCTTTGCTCTGCTGGGCATCTTTAGAGGAAAACTTCACACCAACTTCCTCTACCATAAATTCTCTCCCTTCCCTGAACTCTACACTTCTCTTTGCCAACATACACCACTATTTCTTCATTGATTTTTTTTTTAAGCCTACAGCCCTCTCTGGCTCTTTTCCATCTTTAACACTCTTGTTGAAATCTTCTTTTTTCTGCCTTTCTCTTTGGTAAGACCTTAGATTTTTTTTAAAGGTTGGATTTTATTTTTTCTGCATGATCTTCTTCTGTCTTCCTTCCTCTTCTCTCACCTTTTTCTGATTCTGGACTGTTTGTAAAACCTGTTATGCTTGCTTTCACCAAGGCTTCAACCTTACCCTTGGATTAAGCTCTTCTTCCTCTAAGATGCTTATGTTTCCACTGTTTTTCCCATAAGAATAAGAGTTTTCAAATTTACATCTACTTCAGTCTCTTCTTCCAGTATTTTGCATCCAGAAGTGTGACATGGTCAATTGTAGAGTCCATTGAATGACCCCACTTAAGCTTGGTGTTGTGCTAGCCACTAAAGAGTGAATTTCACAATTCTGGTGCCAGATTCCTCAGTGCTTACCAACAATGGATGTTGCATGCGTGTGCATGAATTCTCTCATGTACACATATACACTAAAATGCACAAATAATATAACAAGTCAGTACATGTATATGAATGTATATTCAGTATGTTTCATTATAATCAAGCCAAGTACATTTTGGGGTGGAAGATGAGGATGGGTTAAGTTCATAGCTAGGATAGAAAGTTAAGAGACCTCATCCTTTGGCATTCTCTGTTGAGAAGAGAAGGATGAGAGGAGCTGTTCCTGTGCAGATGAGGAGATCACATGAAGGAGACTGAGTTTCAGGAGTTGGGAAAGATGACAAATAAGACTGTGGTGAATGGCAGGAGAATGGGATGGAGGGGTCAGAGTCCCAAGAACATTCAGTTGCTATACTTAGCCTGGTGTTCTCTCTGGCAGCGAATATAAAAGATCCTCTGGTTCTAGTACTGATTTCAACTCTGGTTGAGTTTCCATTAATAACCTATGTTGAAGTTTTCCTACTTTGTCTCTGAACCATTGGTACCATTCTTAACAAGTTCACGTAATTCATGATAGCCCGTACCACCAATAATTAACCCCTAACTAACCACCATTAATTTTGACTAAATTCCCTGTCCACTTACATGTTTTCATTGTTCTTGTCTGCTCTACGATCTACTTGTGGCAGTAGTGACTTTTAAAATTCTATTTATGACTCTACTTTTATCTTATTTGGAAATTGCTCTCTTCTTAAAATTACAGACTCAAAACTAGATACTTAGAAGGTGTCTAGTTCTTCGTTACTTCTGAAAGATGATCAAGTAGATCTTTGCTTGTCTGTCTCTACTGAATGAAATGGGTTACTTCCTCTTGTGGTTGGAGGCTGCCCATTCTACTGTTATCTGGCTTTAGGTACTAGAGGGTCGGTAAGCTGAAATCTGTCATGTTATGGCATCTCATTTTCCCCCCTTAATTCTGCTTTTTGAAACAACATGGAAAAAAATCTACTTGTTTTTCAATGTGGCAGCTCTTTAAAGATTTGAAAAGGTTCGTTTTTTGTTAGCTATTTGTCTAAGCTTTCTTCTTTACTCCAGCACTGTCCAATAGAACTTTCTGTGATGATGGAACTGTTCTCTACCTGTCCTGTCTAATCCCTAGCCACTAGCCACCTGTGGCTTTTAAGCACTTGAAATATAGCTAGTGTGACTGAGAAATGAAATTTTAAATTTTAGTTAATTTAAATTTACATAGCCCCACGAGATGAGTGACTTGTGTTAGTACAGCTCTAAACTCTGGGAATTAGTTTATTGTCATATGGCTGTCTTTTGGCTGCTCCAGAAATCTTACGGTCATGTCAAACATGGTAAAAATGTGTGTAACTGGGCTCTTGATCTGTCTAAAGGCCAGTAGCTATTGTCACAACTGAGAAAAATGCAGACCCAATCCCCAAAGCCCTGATGAATAATGTCAGATTTTACTGAAGAT